TGGTGAAGGCTTCTGGGAGTTGCAGTCCAAAACTCCTGAGTAACCCAAGGTTAAGAACCAGTGATCTAGGTGATCCAATGATAGCCATGACCTCACCATTACCTCTAGAGTTTGCTGTTGTTTTCTAAAGGACTGCTGCCTGCAATCTGCACTAAGTCGAGAGGCACTAAAAAGCCACATAATGCTGTAGGTCACTGGTTTCCAACCTTGCGTAACACAGGTATTCTTGGACTGCAATTCCCAGAAGACTTCACCACCAGCTGTGCTGGCCAGGGGTTCTGGGAGTTGTGGTTTAAGAACACCTGGGTTACTCAGTGTTGAAAACCACTGTTGTAGATCAAAAGCTAAGTATGGATGTCAAGAGAAACTGACAGAATTCAGACTTCTGAAGGTATTCTGCATTATTAGAATTAATCTAGGTTTGTTGCATAAGAATAATGGTCTTCATGAAGCAGCCCTCAAGAGCAGAAATTGAATATATGGAGAAATTTGTTAATAGCGGAGGCAAAGAGTAAAGACTTTATGGCTAGCATGCTGTGTATACATAGTATAAGGCAGTGGTTCTTAACCTTTGTTACTCAGGTGTTTTTGAACTGCAACTCCCAGAAACCTCAGCCAGCAGAGCTGATGGTGAAGGCTTCTGGGAGTTGCAGTCCAAAAACATCTGAGTAACAAAGGTTAAGAACCAGTGGTATAAGGTATACTATGCCTCCCTGAGAATAAACCCCACTGAACTCAGCAAGCCATGGGGCCGCTCCCACCTTGTTTCTTTAGGTCATAAAAAATAACTCCATGGTCAGAGATAATTCTCTCTTATTCTTTATTGCTCGGTGTTATAGTACAGTACTACATAATCCCGTTACTCTCTGGGGCTTTCCCATCAGCCATACAAGCAGCAGAATCCAAGATGCTCCTCTTTGCTTATGGGACTGGGTGGGTGACCAGTCTTGCTCTTTCCACACCAGTATCTTCAAATGCACAAACTAGGTTTCATGCACTTTCTCTGTCTGTCCACACAGTTTAGGCCAATTTGTACTGTCTTGCCACCCAGATATTCTAGGAGAAACTGCAGTCTGAGATGGAACAGATGGACCCACTATAGCAGTAAACTGCAACAGGTGCTCCAGAGGCGCAGAACCCAAGAGTAATCTTTGTCCATTCTCAGTGTCCTTCTGCAGGGATCAGAGTTTATTCTTTGCATATTCCAGAGCTTTTATCAAGACCCTTTGCAAGTCATTGGTGCTCCCCCGGCCCTTGGCTACAACTTCAGAACCACCAGAATCGCCTCCCATTTCATTACAGACAGCCAGGGCCCAGTCAGCGGCAGAAAATGCTGGCAAGGAATTCTGAGGCGGGAAACAAGTAGAAAAGTGAACAGAAGTGCAAAGGATAGGTCAGTGCATGGTTCTTTCTGAGGTGTGCGGCTGCACATGTACAACTCCTGCTGTGCAGCTTTCCTCCTCCTCTCCATAGCCCCTTTGGTTTTGGTCGTGACGGAACCTCGCATGCACGGGGGTGGAGGAATTGCGTGCACACGCAGGGAAGAAGTGTGTGAGAGAGGCGGAGCCATGCCCAGCAGGGCTGAAAATTAGAGGGTACATTGGGCCAGTGGAATAAATGTAGGCAGCCTAGCCCCAGTCATTTACCTCCTTGGCTCTTCTTCCTTAAGACAGAGTTGCTGGCAGCATTACAGATGCCAATCCCTGTAAGGCACATAATGTTCAGGACATAAGGCTGTCCTGCACAGGGCCCCATTTTCTTCTATGAGTAGGATATTATGTTTCTTTGTGATTCTGTAATTCAAGGCTTGCTCCATCCCCATTTCTAATCTGTAATGTGGATTTTCTTGGTGCCATACTGACTCTATTGGAGTTTTGGGTGCAGATATACACATTCATTTGTTCATTCGTTCGTTCGTTCGATTGATTTCTATACAGCCTCACTTAGTGAAAGGCACTGCTCTGGGTAGCCTACATAAGAAACAAAAATATTACTCCCATCCACCCCCACCCTACAACAGGGTGGGTGAATCAAAAACGTAACCAAATCAAAAATTGGCAAATCATATTGTGACGTAACACATAGATTATGGTTCATGAATTAACCTCAGGGGGAGTATGTCATTAAAAGCCTCTCTATGCAGCTCTGCCTTCATCAGTTTCCTGACAATTTGGGGGGAGGGGGCCTGGCATACCTCCAATGGAAGTCCATTCCACTGAGATGGGGCCACCACCCAGAAGGCCTGCTAGTTGACACGCTCCTCACCTCTCTCAGTGTGACTACCCTCAATAGTGAGGCCTAAAAAGACCAGGTAAAACAGCTGTTCTTTGAGAGAGACGGTCTGACAGGTACTGAGGCCCCAAACCATCAAGGGTTTTGTATTTCAAAACCAGCACCTTGAATCTGACACAAAAAACAATAGGGAGCCAGGGCAAGGGAGCCAGGATCATGGAGATACAGTCAAATTTACTTGTGCTGGAAATCAGCCTGGCTGCTGGATTCTAAACCCACTGGAGCTTCTGTACCACCTTCAAGGAGAGTCCCAGACAGAGACCATTACAGTGGTCAATCTTGAAATTACCAATGCACAGAACAATGTTGTCAGGGATCTCCTGTCCAGGCAGGGACACGGCTGATGTTATTTTATACCACAAAGATCCTGGGGAGAAAGCCTCAGTTCTAGATTCTGTCTAGTCAAGCTGCCAAGCAGTTGGCTTTGTGTTTTCTGCTAGTTCCTCCAAACAGTTTACAATCCCTCCCCAACCCCAGACATTTAATAAAAATAAATGCCAAAACCCAAATTTGTGAAGACAAGGCAGAACTAGCTTACCTTGGATACCTGACAAGCACACAACACCTGGCCAGAAGCTTGGGGACTAAGCAACATCACAGAAGCTTCTGGCATTTTGTTACACAGTTGGTTCACCACTTTCATCAATATCTGAGGAAAAAGCAAAAGAGTTTCAATAAAACTCTCATGTTGGCAGCATAAAAATCTCCCCCTCCCCCCTGCCTTCAACATTACTCATAGTTTTGATAAAGAAATTCAATTGTGAAAAATTTCTGACATTTTGAAATGTGTTTCAATGTTCTAAGCCAAGGTCTTTACAGTATGTTGTAGACTGTGGGAGGAGATTTGGATGGTAACTTGTTTAGAGACATCAAAAGAAAAATTGCACTGCAAGGGAAGTTGTGTGGAAGGAAAGGGGGCAGGAAATACTCCATAGTACAGAATCCAGAGCCAGGATGCTTCATATGTGGAGCATCTCATTTTTTCCTTGTTCCAAGCTTTAAAAAATGTTGTGCATTGTCAGTAGTAGAAATAGCCCAGGGCAGCTCTCCTGGTTTCTCACAGTAAGGAGTTACAGTTGTACAGAAACCAAACCCAGTTTGACCCTTTTGGTTGTTTCTGTGCCAACCAAACAGAAAGAGAAAGCTGATAGATGCTCACGGAAGGAGTCTCGACCGGGATGGTATCCACAATGACTGCTGGGTTGTTATACTTTGCTCGCAGGTGGTGAGCTTTCTCTGCAGCCTGAAGGATGAGAAGTATACAGTAATGAAAACTCAAAACTAGTGCCATCAGGGAGGAAATACTATCAAGGGCAGATCACACCTTCGTTTCTGCAAAATGTCACAGAAAAGCCTTGGGGTCAAACATTTCTTTCTGCCCACAGAATTCATGCCCAGCAAGAATTTATCCAAGCATCTTAAGACAAATGGAGGTGTGTGTGTGTGTGTGTGTGTATTCATACACATACTACGTGTGTGTGTGTGGGGGGGGAGGAATTCATACACATACTATTGCTCTAGAAGCAAACAAAAACCTCAGTTCGGGGCTCATCACATATACAGGAGTACCTCGGTTTACGTATTTTTGTGTTCTATGGGACGTTACGTAACGCAAAAAATTCATAAACTGAAACGTGGGTATACAGGAGTACCTCGGTTTACGAATTTATGCATTCTATGGGACGTTACGTAATGAGAAAAATTCATAAACTGAAACGCGGCTTGCCATAGGAACAGGGGCAGCGCTACAAACTTTCAGGCACAATGCATCCTGGGGAAACTTTCTTTGTACTTGGAAAAAAACCAGGAAAAAAAGTAAACGGGGAAACTTTCTTTGTACTCCGAAAAAAACCAGGAGAAAAAGTAAACTGAGGCATTATTTTCAATGGATTTTGCTTCATAAACCAAAAATTACGTTACCCGAGGCATTCGTAAACCAAGGTACTGCTGTAGAAGCAACCATTTGTATCGAGAGCAAGGGTGAACAAAGTGTGGCCCTAAGCCCTAATTGTCCCCCCCGAGGCATTCATAAACCAAGGTACTGCTGTAGAAGCAACAATTTGTATCGAGAGCAGGGGTGAACAAAGTGTGGCCCTAAGCCCTTTGGCTGTTTTTGTACCACATGACCCTATTAGGCTTTTCTGTACCTCTTGGGGAAAAACATTTTTTCCCAGCAAAAGAAGCATCCAGGACCAGTGATTTAGTTTTTAAACAGATCACGGGGTGTCCCTGCAGTGTTTGACACACCTCCCCCCAAAATAACCATTTATCAAAATTGGAAGTGGTCCTTTGCTACTTCTAGTTTTCTTTCATTGCCGTTTTTTGCAATTTTGCTGGTTTCAGGCCCCCCTAGAGGATTCCAGGGACATAAAATTGATAGGCAAATCTAGCAAAATTGTCCAGTTTTGACTTAGTGTTAGACTACATACTGTAGCTTTACATATTTTTTTCTTTTGTAATTGGTAACAATTTCGCTCTTCCTGCTCTTGATCTACTCGTGCTGCTATCAGCGGCCTAATGTTGCATCCTTACCAGTTGCGTTTCCAGTTTTCTAACTGCATTGTTGGCTGCTCGTTGCAGAGTTTTAAGAGTGCCCTGCAGTTCCCGTTTCTGCCACTGAGGCATTGCAGTATTGTCCACTCTCTGTAAAACACAGTGATGCCATTAAGGACACTTCCTCCTGGACACTTCCTTACATTTGGAGTCTGCAGTCAATCAGTACTTACTTTCGTTAGGCGGCCAACATCCCCAGAGAGTCTCTGTGCCTCATCAACAGAGGCCGCTCCCGCTTTCACTCGCATTTTGAGGGAGTCCACTTCTCTAGCAAGGGACTGGGCAACTTCTCGGGCCTAGGAGAGGAAGAAAGAGCTGACACCATTCAGGAAAGGCCATCTACAAAAGGAACAGGTGTAGAAATGACCAGCAATTCTGTTCATAACCCAGAAACAGAACCAAGAAGTTTTCAATAGCTAGAAACTTGGAAAAAGGCCACTTCACAAGCCAAAGCTCAGCATGGTTTGATCCTTGGAATAGGCGTCCCTGGTAAATAATGAATGGGCTGTTGATAAAACAGAGAGAGATATCAAGGGCAAATGACCTTAGTTATGTCCCACCACTAATAAAACCTGCCAGCTTTAAGAGGGGGTTTGGAAAGGGAGGAGGGAGCAGATTGCTTTGTCACACTGAAATTAGAATGGAAGGTTACAGACATTTAAATTGTAGTTTACAAAGATGTAGCTGTGTTAGTCTGAGCAAAAATCCATAACCTGGTAAATCTCTTTTTTGGACAACTGCAATTGCATGCACACTCTAATATAACTCAATTGTGTTACGTGCGGTCTGGAAACTTCAGCCAGTTCAGAATCCATCTACTGTACAAGACCGCTAACCAGGCTTAGATGGTATGACCAGATTGGTGTTTTCCCACCATTGCTCGCCCTCAGACTGTCTCTCGGACCAACTCAAATTGCTGGTTTGAAGCTGCCTAGAGAACATGTTCACAGATATTTCAAATAATGTGTATAGATATTTCAAATAAAGTCTAGATTTTTAATGACTATAAGCGAGGCACCACTGTATTTCAAATAATGTGTATAGATATTTAAATAAAGTCTAGATTTTTAATGGAGTAATTGGGCACCCAGTATGGTGCAGTAGATAAAATGAAGGACTAGGATTTTGGAGACCAGGGTTTGAATCCCCACTTTGCCATGGAACCTCATCAGGGCAGCCGAACTGGTTAAAAACCACTCCTTAAATACAGTATCTCACTTATCTTGAAAGTCCTATTAGGGTTGCTATAAATCATTTCTGACTCAACAACACATAAGACTAATTCTACAAATGGCAGTGTTGCACAAAGACAAAAGTCAAGACAGAATGAGAAAAACTCCAATAATCCAATTTATTTTATTGGCATGCTCCCTGTGAGACCAGTTTCTTAAAAAAAGAAAGAAAGAAAGAAAGAAAGCTGATTTTGTTCCTGCTCCTCTATGCTAGGTTCCATGTTATGCCAAGGCGGCACAGGGCTAATTCACTTTCTGTAATTCTGGAGTATATCAATATTCCAAATATGTTGGTGATACAATTCAGAAATAAGACTGACTTAGAAAAACAAGAGACAGACTTCTTTTAGGCAATATTTATTTTTTTAAAATATGGAATACATGGTGATTCTTCTACCAGGAAACCATATAATTTGTCTGTCAAAATTATTTTGCCCTTTTATTTTGCCTTTTTATTGTATTTTAAATGCTGTAAGCCGCCCAGAGACCTTCGGGTAGTGTGGG